AAAGTGGCTCCACAACGAAACGGTCCTGAGCGCCACTTTCCAGACGGTACGTCAGCCAGCCGTTAGAGCCAGAGTCTGCGTCAGTGGCAGACAGCTGAGTCACCACAACTCCTGAAAAAAGACAAATATTATACAGATGTACATGTTGCTACTCCACCAGGAAGTATTGCCATTATAAATGGTTCTACACATTTTCTTGGCAATCATAAATTATGTAATTGTCTTTTTGCTAACAGTTAGCCATTTTGAGCTAACCTTCGATTACTTGTACAAATGTACAAAACCTTTGGCAAAGTTGTATTTATTGCCTGGCTGATATTATACATTTCCTGAGAACGACTGCATAGCGTTCTCTTGGACAAGTCTTGTGTCCAAGTCCAAGCAAGTCTTGTGTATGAGTGAAACTTGTTTAACTTTAACTTTCAGATGTGTAACCAATCTGCATTTTTATTTATTAGCCAACAGCCAATGCACAGACCTGAGGGACTGTTCTCTGGGAGACGAATACTGAAACTGGACGGACTGAACACAGGAGGATTATCATTCTGATCTAGAATGGTAACTGTCAGGGGAACGCTGCTGTTCAATCCGCCTATGTCCTCAGCGACCAGAAAAAGCTCCACGCGGGGCTCCTGAAATGCCTCACGGTCCAGTTTGGCCCCCTGACGCACGAGTACCACGCCTGTAGACACACAGACGAAGGGAGTGACATTAAAAACCGCAATTGGAATTTTTATTTAATATCTGAGTGTTTGTACAAAAATATTACCAGTGGTAGCTTCCACAGTAAAGAGGTCCACTCTGGGGCCTAGCAGGCGATACTTGACTACAGCATTGGGTCCAATGTCTTGGTCTTCAGCCAAAACTGGCCCATTTAACATGGTAACTGTTGTTCCTGCAAATAAGTAGAGATGAAGAGTTGAATAGATAAAATGACGAAGGCTAACATACTCAGGTAAGTACCAGGGCCTATACCAAACTAGTTCTACTAAGGACATAATATGAGACATCATTTTCAGACCCATATATTTTATTTTTTCCTATGTTACCAGCACAGACTTTAGTCAGACTCTCTAAAGTTAAGTGTCCAGGAGACTCTCAAGGACCCTCTGGTCGAAAGATGACTCTACCTACTGATCCAGGCCTGTACTGCCTGCTGAGGCAGTTTCAATGCCTTCAGAATCGAACCATTATGTGGTATATAGAAAAAAAAACTCATTTACTTTCCATTGAACAGTGTGTCAACAAGTGCAGGAAGTGAAGCAGACAGTGTCTTGACACCATACCCTATGCTCAAGGTAAATATCACCATCTTCAGCACTACCTGCTGCAGAGTTCTCCATGATTTCAGCCCTGTAGCTGGTCCTGGTGAACACAGGCCTGTTGTCATTTTCATCCAGAACAGTTATCACCAGTAGGTCTGAATCCTGAAGCAGAGAGGAAAATGTAAATAAAATGTTCCTGGTATTAAACAATTTCGAACAATTATTAAATCATCATAAATCGGTGTGCGACGTTATTAATAACTTGTAACATGATACTGATGAGGTAATCTTGGTGAGGCTGATTTCACAGTTCTAGTTCTTCGCTGCTTTGGACTCAGACAATTTCTCACCTTTTGCAACAAAGGAAGCTTCTCAAACAACACATTTACTGCACTGTCAAGTCTGAGAGCATTGCACGCATGACAGAAGTCACAGACTTGCTGCAAGTGGTTTTGGAACACTATGTGTTAAGACTGTTGTTGTGTACATCAACTGACAGAGTTGTGAGGTGATACAAAAAATGTAGCTTCAAAGTGAGTTCATAGAATATAATAACAAAAAGTCTCCATAGAACTGACATATGATCTGCCATGGGATAATTTTTAAAAGAAACTTAATAAGGAATTTTAACAAATTTTAATAAAACAATTATTGTATACAATATCAACAAGATACATACACACATATTTATACACATATATAAACACACACCCTGCGAGCGATGCGGGGGTTTTCTGGGTTGTCTTTGACTGTGATAGTGAGACGGTACTCAGCCAATCGCTCTCTGTCCAGTCGCCTGTTGACCTGCACCACACCTGTCTGAGGGAAACAGAGCAGGGGCACTGTTATGTATGTGAAAATAAGTATATAATAACATTTGTAATTCAAACAGATCATTATATGACTACAGTAAAATAAAGGCGAGGTTGAACTACAGATTGCCATCCTGGGTTTGCACTTATTTCCTCTTTTATCAGCTCAAAGCCCAAGATCATTCCTCTCACCGTGTCGTTGATGTAGAAGGCTCCGTCCTGGTTTCCTGCAGTGATGTTAAACGTAAGCAGGGCATTCCGTCCACTGTCTGCGTCGCGTGCATAGACTCTGGCCACAGAGGTGTGTATGGAGGAACCCTCACTCACATTGGTTTTGTAAGGCAAGTTAAGAAGGACTGGGTCATTGTCATTAATGTCCCGAATGTTGACCCCGACCACCACCTAAAACAATCAGACAAAATAAATTAAACATCTAAATATCATGTATGCTGCGATTGCACAGGTTTTTGTCTTTGTTAGACTATTATTCACCAAGGTGACAGGGTTGCTATGCTTCCAGAGGAGTGCACAAAAAAAATTGAAAACTAGACAGAACCAAGAACTGAACCTTGTGGTACACCACAAGAGACAAAGAGCTGCAGTTGCCATGCAAAGTAAACCAGCTGTTATAACCAAGCTGAGAGGTGAAATAAAGCAGTCTACATCACATCTGTTTATACTTACTTATTTTTTTCTTTAAAGGTGTCCTATTTAAACCAAAAAATGGTATTGGTATTTTTATTAGTGGTTATGCAGTAAAGACCTACCGAGCTATTGCGAGACGGGGTTCCTAGATCTCGGGCTGTGACAGTGATGTTGTAGAAAGCTGTGGTTTCCCTGTCCAGCTCTATGTCTTTTCTAACCCGTAGTTCACCCTCCACTGGAGAAATCATGAACTCGTCTAAAAGAAAGTAAGTGTAAGAGAAAGTAAAGAAGGTCAGAGGTAACAGACTGAATTATTTATTACTCTCCCTACAGAAAACAGCCCTGCACTGACTCTGCGGGTCTCCAGCGGTGATGCTGTATTCTACTTTGCCATTCAGTCCAGAATCTTGGTCAGTGGCTTTGAGTGTCCAGACTCGAGGTCCCGGCTGCCCCTCAGTGACATCGAAGGGTCCCTCGTAGGCTCTAGGGAATGCAGGCGTCACATCATTCACATCAATGACATTCACCAGCACCTAGAAAAGGAAAGTTTTATACTTTAGTGTTGTGAGAAAGCTGACTGAGACATGTACAATTTGGGAGGCAAATAATTGGTTCATTTACTACTTAAGTTACTACTACTTTTTTTGCATACCTACTCATACCAAAAACACACTTTTTGTATTATAGAAAGTTAACCTTTTTTTTTTTGTTTCTGCTTGTTTTTTTTTTTTTTATTTTTAAAATTTCATATTTTATAGTCAGTTAGAGTTAAATTTAATTGGTGTGTCCACATTACTGTTGTGCTGGACGTCAGACGTAGAGCCAGGTTTGGACACTGGTCTGTCGCTGTGACCACCAGTGCATAGTGTCCATTGCTGATCTCGTAGTCCAGCTCCTTGACAGCAGTAATTCTCCCCTAAGACACAGGTCATACACAGATGTTGTTGTTGACATTTGTTCAGCTGTTTGTTCTAACATGTCACTGTAGTCCACTCCCCGTCTTACTGAGATGCTGTTGATGTGAAAGGTCTGGATCAGGTTGCCCTGAGCAATGGCGTATCGCAAAGTGCCGTTTAAACCCTCGTCTGGGTCGATGGCTGTTACCGTGGCGATGGTGGCCCCCACTGTGTCTGGCCCCTCACTCAGCACCGTGACATACTCCTCCTCAGGAAACTCGGGAGCGTTATCGTTTTCATCCACAATGCGGACATAGATGGTGGTTGACGTCTGTGACCGAGAAACAGAGAAACAAAACTTTACATAACTACACGACTGCGCTGGTCTTTACAGGTGAACTGTTCCTTTCAGAAAGTGTTGACATGCAAATCAAAACCTGATGATGTAACATTACCAAATGACATCATGCAATCAACATTGGTAGTAGTATCTGTTTGGTAACTGTAGTAACAAATCAGTAATCACCTATGTCATAGCCTAACACTATCTTTTCAACCTTTGCAGATGTTCCCCACACTCATTTCACACACACACAGTCTTCAGCACAACGACAGTCTCAGCTACACATTCCCTTTTAGAGAAAACCACTCTATAAGACCACAAACAAATTCTCACATGTGTAAGCAAAAACAACAGTATTATGAAGCACAGTTTGGCTGTTTGGTCACTTGCTGCTTCTCCAGTTTAACCTCAGAGTTTCCCTCCCTGTGCTATGAAAAGAAAGAGTGCAGTAAGGCCTTATAAAATTCAACAAATGATCTGGAACCAAAGCCCACAACATGTTTCCTCTAACGTCTGTAACCATTTAACATGGGTTCTATTAAATCAATCCAGTTATCATTCAACACACTTTTTCATCTTTCCATCTTTAAACACCTCTCTTAAAAAAGTCACACAAAGGAAGCTGAAGCTAATCTCTTTGTCTAATCTCAAGTGTACCAAGAGACAATAAAAGTGCTAGCTGGAAAAAGCTAAAAAACAATTAAAAATTAAATTAATTAATTAAAAGCCCTTTAAAAAATATTTGAAAAAATACAGGCAGAAATATAATTGGCCAAAATGTAAATAAGCCTAATTAAAGACTTCATTATTCTGATAAAACAAATAAAAAAAACCCAAAAGCATTAACTATTTTGTTACTATTTTGTAAACTTTTATCATTTCATTTATTTCATTATGTGATTCAAAAGAGAGAGAGAGAGAGAGAGAGAGGGAGAAAGAGAGAGAGAGGGGAGGGGAGAGTGGAGAGAAATGGGTGGGAGGGAGGAAAGGCCTGACTGACAGCGGGGGAGGAGCATGATGTGTCTCTTGTTGCATTTTGTGCACAGTAAAGTTCAAGAGGAACAAGTTGGGTAAAAGACAGAGTGACGGAGAACTGGTCCACACTGTTCATTCTATTCATTCAGACCAAACTATGGCACAGGTATTACGATGTGGTTCAGCCCCCAGGATGGTGGTCACGCTCTGGCTCTGCTCCGTCATGTTACTTGTTACAGCAGGTAAGACCTTTGACATCTGTCCTCCTCCTCTCATGTGGCCACAGTGTCTGTGTTAACTTGTTAAAACAAAGAGACCTTCTGTTGTTTAGCTGACAAGGCTTATTCAAAAACAGAATTTGTCGCCTTTTATATTTGTGTATCAAATTTGATTTTTTTAAATGAACATTTTGTGTTTGTTGTATTAATGAAGAGACTCCAACATGACCTAAGTGAACAGTTTCAGAAGGCTTTTCTTCTTGCTGTTGTGTTTTGAGAGGGAACATCTGGTGTGAAGCTGTGGTAAAGCTGATCCCTGGGGGATGAAGTGAACTGTAAATTCACCTTAAACCCTCACACTAGTATAATACAGCCACAGGGAGAAAATGGTCCTTTATGATTTTATTGCAACAAGTCTGAAAATGACCACAAAGTCATCTGGAAACACTGCTGAGCTATAAATTGCTTGTTTAGATGAAGGACAAACACAGCGATGCACAGTTCCCTTCTATTATTGCATAATTTCTGTCAATTTGCTCTGGTGGGAGCTGCGATAAAATACTTTCCTAAGGACTTTTTTAAGTCATATGTCTGTGAGAGCTTATGCCCCTGACGCTGGAGGAGAGAGGAGAGACAGCTGTTGCCTGTGGGCTGCACTGAGCCTCATTTCAAACACCAGTGAAACCTTGCAGAGGTTATCAGCTTTCCACTTCAGGATTTAGCCCTGTTTAGATAAGCCCACATAATTAATCTGTTTGGGCAACAAGTAATGTTGACTTTACTTTTGGCTTTTCTAATTCTGGACCAGAATAAAAAAACACAGTGATGTTTAAAACCAGGGAAGAAAGAAATATATAAAAATCAATTTGAAGTAAGGTTTTGACTGGTTTAAAGCCTTTGATTTCATTATGGCAGGCCCATAAAACAGGCCGGCTCCAATAAAAAAAAGTCCAAAGACTCAATTACTCCTCCACTCCTTTTTCAGTGACTAACTTGTCTTTGTTTGCCTGTTTCCTTCCTTTCAGGCTATGATAAAAACAGCTGTTTGCACAATCTATGTGTTACTTCTCCCAAAAACATGATTTGAGAAAAACAGGGAAAGAAAAAAAAAATCAGTGCACTCCTTCTGACCAGTCCAGATAAACACAGCTCACTGTGAAGGACAATGCCACAGTCAGAAACGGTCAATGAACACCACAGGATGTGAGGTCTCCTTCCTCATCCAGACTCCTGCTGTGGCAGAGCTGGTGTCATTGATCCTCTGTCCTTTAGTGAATAAATCATTGTTAAGTCCCAGCAATTAAAAATAACCTCCTTGGTGAGTGTCATCAACAAACTGTGCCCATGTGCTGCATAATGAGTTTGAGCAAAAACAAGAAAGCGGAGGAGATGTTCTCGTCTTTACCACTGACTTCAGGAAACACGATTTGAAGATCAGTCAAATATTTAATCAGCAGCTGGAATGATTCGTGAAAAAGATTAGTAAAACAGAAACACACACTAGAAGTGATTCTCTGAACAGGACAAAAGGCCTCATCTCTGGCCTCCAGTGATACAGCTGTCTCCTCTCTTTGAGTTAAAACAGCCAAAAGTTGGTTAAAAACAACCCCTCCCCAAAAAAACCCAAACAACTTGGTGTTCTTTGACGTTTGACTGAAGAAACCAGTGTTGTAAAATTCTTGCCAAGCTGACATTACACCATCGTGTAGTTACAGATGTTATGAAACTACCTTCTCAAAAGGGGAAGGTCGGTTTGAAATGTCAGAGAAATTGATGATAGGAAGTCTCCTCAACACAAACTACATGAGAGAATAATGATACACACCTGAAATAAACACACTGTGGTGAGCTGAAACAGTTCCTGTCATGATCAGAAGTTCAACAACTTCCCCTGTGTGGGATCAATGAAGTTCTGATCTAATCTAATGGAAGCTCAACATGTATGTCTCCCATTGACTGAAAGATGCCCTGACACACTAACAGCCCTAACTGAAACTCACTGTGGGTGTGTGTGTGTGGAGGGAGGGGTGATGTTTCATTAACACCCTGTAATGTGTTGAATAGACATTTCCATGAGGTGAGAACAGGTTGAGGTGTGTGAGAGAAAATGAAAATTTATAAAAACAGGTACAGAACAGCAGTGCAGGTGAAAGTGAACCTGTAGGAACAGAACAGCAAACACTGTTTCTGCCGGAGACTTCTGTTCCTCACCACTAGAAAAAAGACATGTTTAATTAGTACGAAGCAGCAACAGCGACGCTGAATGACTGAACGTCTGCAGAAAGCTGACTGTCACACGCAACATGTTCCAAACAGGTGGCACGCAGCCTTAAAACAAAGGAGGGCCTGTGTCTGAGCCCTGTGGGACAATCAGGATCCTGAGAACAGAAATCAGAGGAGGAAGCTGGAAATCTATAATGGGCCCATAAACAAACACAGATGTCTACAAATAAAATAATTCCTACTTGTACAGAGGCTTACAGAAAGAAGAGTTCTTTGGTTTCATGTAGATGGTTGAAACCACAACAAACCTCTGAGACTGCTGACACTGTAGTAACACCACCCACAGCACCATCAGACTAGATGCTAAAAGCAAACTATATTTATTTTCTAACACTCCCTTACAGTAGTCTGTACTTCACTGCAAATTATCATTAAATGGACTGAACAGTATTCTGTCTGCAGGAAACCAAAACGAACCATCATGAAAAAAAACCCCAAAACCACTTTTCCTCACTGAATCATTTGTCATCTCTACATCAGTGCCAGCACCAAAGCCACAGGACGAAAAAAAACGCATTGGTGTTGTTTAGATTTATATTTTATTTATATATTTTATTTAATAAACTGGGTCGATGAAATAATCTAAACATTTTCAATAGTTTATTTTTGTATTTAAAAAAATATGATCAAATTGTCTGACTGCACACTGTAAATAAACCAACAGCATTATAAGTGACTTCAATAATCTTTATCCCATAAGGAACACATATGTAAGACTTACAAACTAACTGCTTGTAGTTGGAGGCCAACAACAACAGGGGGCTGGAGGAGACATCCAACCTGGGAGTGAATGTCATTCAAACCTGTTTAAACATGGGTGTTTTTCTTTCTCTTTTCAGAGAAGTACACCACATGTTTGGCAACACCCTTATCTCCCTCATTTCGTGGTAATCTATCTCCACCAGAGTGAATAGGACGAGGGAAACTAGGAGAGACCGTTCTAAAAGAAGGACAGGGAGGAAGGCAGGGTGGGTGTGAAACAGGAGAGGGGAAGGGGTTCCCCTGCTATTGTCCCACCGTGGAGACAGGAACAGCCACAGGGGCAGCAGTTTCACTTTAATCACCCTCCCTGCTCTTCCTATTGCCTTTCCTCCTACAATGACCGGCTGGGCCACATGGAGAACACAGCTGGTAGACTTGCGTGCATTTGCAAGATGCATTGAGAAAACATGCACAGCTAATCAAGAATTAAAGGGCACAGGCCGACCTGTTGGTGTTTCCCATTCAGTTGAGCAAAAACCCCATCACTTAAAGGTGGTTTTGACATTCACACTAAAACACTGAGAGTGCTTTTCTCACTGAAACACCTGAGGACGCTGCAGCAGAGCTTACGGTTTAAAGTCCAAACATGGTGTTGTCATAGATCTGACCACTAAGCAGTTTGTGCTTCTTAAAGAAAAGAAAAAAAAGTGGTGCAGCAGCTGTGTTACCACAGCAGTGGTGAGTAGTGAGACAGAAGGAGCAGGAGGAGCTGTGCACTCTTGTTGGGACAAGTCAGGAAGGAAGTCCACTCCTTAAATCCTGGCACTGACCACTTACAGGCACACGTAGTAAAATCTGTGATGAAAATCTCTGACTGCGTCAAGACTGTTGCATGCACACTTAGGTTGCAGCCCACCCACGAGGTTGCAGCCCACCCACGCACACGCACGCACACGCACGCACACGCACGCACACACGTACAGGCACACGCACAAGCTCTTCCTGTTTTTGCATCAAACATTCATGTATGTTAAAGTGATGCACAGCAAAACAAAGATCTTATGGTCATCTATATTTAAAACCTGCTGTTGGTTATTAATGCTGTCTTTACGTGAATCATTAATTAGCTCAGTTACTGCTGCTCTTTGGCTTTGTTGACTGGGTCCAAACATTATTATGCAGCAGTGGAATCTGATCTACAGGTTGTTGTGTTTGATGAGACGGTTATTTCTTTTCTTGTGTTACTCCAATGATAAAAAAACATTGAGCGTACACATCGCACAGCCTGTAAAATGTGTTTATGCATTTTACTGGTGCACCAGAGCAGGAACAGGATGCTGTGGCAGGCGGTAACGTGAGCTCCAGAGCAGAATGGTATATGCAACATGATGACTGCCTTTTGTGTTTTCTAGAATGTACAAAAAAGCTGTGAGTGGGATCAGTGCCAGTGCACAGTGGTCGAAAAAAAAGATTATCGCACTACACACATAGTAACAAACCCACACTTGGTGTAAATGATGTAGCAGTCAGATCCCACATGTATTGGTGTCTGGAAGGACCAGGAAGTCACACTCAGTCCTCTAGTCTGAAGAAAAATTATGTTTGGTTTGTATGCTTGTTTATAAAAAAACAAGTATATATACATATTAGAGCTGCTGATCAATGTTTTTTCAATGATCATGAATCATATCAAGATTCACCATAATTAATCCTGATTAATCACGATATTTATTCATTATTTCTAGTTCTCTCTATTTTTTCTCTATGGCTTTTCCTTGTTGTACATAATAAACATGGTTTCTTGTTTTTGGGGCTAAGAATTTCACTTCCTTAAAAACTGTAACACAAGTTGTTGTTTTTTTTCAAGAAGTTAGAAGATGTAAACATCTCTGCTGGATTTTCACGGCTCTGTTGTTAGATGTCTGTGAGCACTGTCATTATAAATAGATACGAGGACATATGATCCAACAGTTCAAATCTAAACTATCTTATATACCGTGTCTTTTACCATCTTACCATTTCTAATGGAATAGAACATAAACAACTTCCTAACTTTTAATTGTATAAAATGAGATATTGAGTTGTGTGATATTTAGGCTTTTCCTTTAAAAAAGTCACAACTATGAATATTATAATTACTGACCTGCATATTTAAGGTTTTCCTGGAAATCAATTTCACACCATCATCATATTGAAATAGAAAGAAGTCAACATTCCGCCACATGTAAACCGTATATTTATACATGTTCTGAAACTCAGTTATGACTACAGTGTAGTCTAATGCGAGTCTTATCACTGTTTTCTAAAGTATACAAAATATGCTTTGACAAATGTGAGAAATAATGATTTTAAATCATTGTCTAAAATACACCTTTCTATTTTTGTCTTCAGCCAATGGTGAGATGACTCATGCCCACACAATTAGCGTTTCTGCCCCCCACCTTTTCTACACCTGCCCTGAAGGGGCGACTGCAAAACTGATGTGTTATCAAAGGGGTGCTGCCCTGTATTCCACTGATGTGGTGAGGCGTAGCTGGCTTTTCACACCACACAGTGATCAGCACTGTTCTGGAAAGATGGGTCCACGGCACACTACCCTTAACGGACATTCTCAGGGAAACCGGAGCTCGCCGCTACCGCAGTTTGGTTTCTCCGAGCAAGAAATGTGGGTGATCCTGCAGGACGTCACCTATGCTGACCAGGGCCGCTACTGCTGTATCGTTCTGGACTTCCAAGTGGCTAGCAAACATGCTTCTCTGGTGCAGAAACCTCACAGCCACATCATCCTTCAAGTTTCACCAAGTAAGAATACAAATGTCACAGTACTCCAACAAAGTAAACATCATTTATTTCGTATTCTCTGTGGACACCAACATATTTTCTCTGTCTTTCCAGGGAGAAATGGATCTCAAGCGTGCACTGTCCAGGATTTCACAGCATCTGGAGGTACGTCACCTAACTCACGGCTTTATATCCAGTTGACAGCAGGCCACTCGGTCTATTTGTCTAACTCAGTGTCTCTGCTGCCCCCCCCAGGCTCTGTGCCAGTGGCCTTGTCTATAACAGCTTGCATCTTTGCTCTGCTCGCTCTACCACTTCTCCTGGTGCTGGTGTACAAACAGAGGGAGAAAACCCAGTCGAGCAACGGTATGTTTCTATTGATACCCCCCCACCACCACCACCACCACCACCACCAACACCTCCCACACACACATTCTTAAACACGCTGTGTGTTTTGTCTGGTTCATATTTCCTGTCAGTGAGGCGGATTAGCAGCGTTTCACACAGCGAAAATCATATTTGCTTTGTATCTGAAGTGTTCCGCTTCATTTGAATTCTGTCACAATGGCCCATTTCCTGTTTCCTCTCTCTCCCAGGTGGACAGGAGCTGGTGAGGATGGACAGGTACGTTTTTCCCACAGTCTGTTGGCCTGCAGCTTTGTTATTATAATTATATTAATAATACAGTCTAAATGGATGCTCCCTAAGTCCAGTTCCTTTCTACCACCCACTGTTTCTCATGAAGTTTTCCTCACCCATATTTATATATTAAGTCAAAGAATCCCTGTAGATACAGTTGTCCTATATCCCAGTCTGGAGTACACAGATTGTGGATCTAGACCATTTCCTAAGTAATGAGTAAAGGTTAAGTGAGTAACTAAACTCCACATTCTTTTCTATGTCTTGGGCAACAGTGTAGGGTTGTCTGTTGTCATCACAGCTGTTTGTTACTCATCATCACGTTTCCCCTTTTTTCATGTCTGTTCAGTGAAGCCCAGGGGCACGAGAACCCAGTGTTTCTTGGGGACTCACCACAGACCAGGACCCGTACTGTTTCTCAGATCATGACCAGACAGTCATCTGAGACAGGACGCCACCTGCTGTCTGAGCCCAACACTCCCATGTCTCCTTATTTCAATGGGAATGGGTTTTTCCCAATAGAGGGTAGGACACACACACGCACACAAAATCTATGTCATATTATACGTAATAACGCTTCAACACTTCCAAACGACCTTTGACCTCATACCAAAACTGCTGAGTGTTTCTTTAAATGCTCAAAGTGAGTTAAATGATTTTAGTTTTAATACTAAAATATAGAACAAATGTTATGATTCACACTAAGCCAGAAATAAAGTTTCAATCATACTTTAGGTTAAAGTCAACAATATTAACTCCATCCAGTGAACCTAATACAACACAATAAACTAGTTCTGGAAAAAACCTATTTCAAAATGTACCTTAAAGTAAAAGGTTGATGCAATCAAAGGACGTTTCTCTACGTTTCTGCTGAAACGTCCTGCAGTGGGTGAGGCACTGATGGAGACATGTTCACATACTCATGCAGCACTGCACGTTCAAAGTCAAAACAGCTGAGCTTGAGTAAGACGAGACATTTTGTGTAGTGTAGGAGTTTCATTTCTCTCTCTCTCCCCAAATAAATCCACTGCCTCTGATAAAAATCTTCTTTTGCTCATCAACACTTTCATTGAACACTAATGACCCCCACAGCCATTCTTTTTGACTCCACTCGAAATAACATTGAAGCATTGGTTACGGTGAAGCGTTTCCACTGTTTTTCTATGGATTCCCAGGGCACCTGTGCACACATTCCAGGCATATTGAAATGGATTAGCCTGTGGAAGAAGGAAGAAAATGGGGATACTGAACCTAAAACCTTTTCATCACTTAAAATCAATTAATTAAAAATATATTGTTGATTTTGAAACTAAAGTGAGTGTATGCGGAAACTCAGCAGCAGTTGAGTTATTCAAATATTGAACAAAAATAGCTAAAAAAAGCTAACTAAAATTAGCCCCAAGATAAACTTAAAGCACAAAAGATAAAAACATTTTTAAGACAAAAGCTAATTTACATCCAAAAATAGCCAAATGTTTAATTATTATTATTTAGCCTCATTATGTCTCTGTACATTGTGTACTGCATATACTGTAATTTTAAGCCACTAATGTTCATTAGATGGTTAACCTGGTGTCACGTCAGGATCCTCCTGTCTGTGGATTGAAACCCAACCCTTCATCATTTTTGGCCCACTGACCTTTAACTTATGTATACAGACTAACTGCAGTTCCTCTCTAGGTATATTCAAGCATGTTGCAACATATAGACCAGAGTTCTATTCCACTGTTCTGCTGTGTTTGGCAATGAAGACAAAAGTATTGTATTCTATTACTGACGTCTCACGATTACAACAGCAATAGAAGAGAAACATCTCAGCCTCCAACCATATTCTAACGTTAAGGAAGACTGAAAAACTCAACCACACTGACTCAGCAGAAACTTTGGAGGAACACCAGACTCCTTCTACACAGATTACAAAGTATTTAACTCTGGCTTCATAAACGCAAGTTATGATTTATAGGCCGTCACAAATTTGCTTATTTCTCTGTTTCAGACACCATCCCTGAGTCTCCAGACTTTGTGCCGATATCGTCCGGGTCCAAACCTCCTTCACTGCTCTAGGTGCAGAACTGGAAACAGACCTTCATCTCTAGTCCTCTTCTTTTTTGCCTTCAAAGTGATAGTGCCCTTTGCGAGCTTCCTCACAATAACCTCTGCTGGGATTGTCATGTGTACATTGTCTGGTCTGCAGGAGGGGGGATGAGGGGGGAGGGATTATTTCCACCTGCATCAACAGCTGGAGGCCAAAGTGAACTTGTCGGTGTGAGTGTCTGTGCTGTGACGGAGGCCGGTCTGGTCTATAATGCTCCGTCTTGGTCTGACAGGAAAGGCTTGTGGCTGGTTGTTTAGCGGGGCCCCACAGCTCAGAGTGCAGACAGAGTTACAGTGAGTGCAGGCCTTTGCCATGTGCAGAAGTGACTAGTTGAGAGTGAAACTGTGGATTGCTTTGCTTCCTCCTCGGGCAAGTTGTTTGGTGCAATTCCGACTTGTGTCCTAATCTGTGTAATTTGACAGTTCCTCATAGTTTTTTCTTTCTTTTGCTACCTCAGCTCTGTTGCTCTGAGTATTCTATTCCTTAGTGTATCCTCCCATACACAGCACTTCACAGTTGTCTTCAACATACGGGTTAGGTGCTGAACATGTCAGGAAATACAGTAATTGGGTTATAAAAAGGTCTAAAACTATCGTGACACATTGTTTGATTTCCTCAATGACCAAGAACAACAAGGGTTTTATTACCCTAGTTACAATGCTGTTTTGTAAATATATATGTATATTTTTTAGTTTTTATCTTCTGTTGTGAGGTATATAACAATGTTTGTGTGCAATGACAAAAAAAAACAACAAAAAAAACAAAAAACATTTATTGCTGCCTTCAAACTAAAACAACAACAACAAAAAAAAAGATCTGTGACAACCAAAGAGTTTTTATATCAGGTTTGTTTAAATGAGAATAAGAAGTGTTTGTAATCAATGCAGCATTAATATTCAGACCTATAAGCGACTTAGTGAAACCACTGGAGTTTGGTCGTATTGTGGAGGTAAACATGTACAGCTGCTGTGTGAACAGTCATTATCTCTCTCTGTTGTGTAGCTGGCGTACAGGACAGGGTATTGTGTGTATATTTGCCACTGTTTTTCTTGAAGAAGTATTTTAGTGTCACTGTGGTGACTGATGTTTTGCATACAATTTTACAGTTCCTGTTTGTTTGCCTTTTGTATTGTACAGATTTAAACCTAGACCAATGTTGCATGTACTGCAGTTTAAATTGTCCAGGTTGCGTCTTGCACAATAAAGTGGAGCTCTTCCAACTCACACCAACCTCGTGTCTAGTCAATGAAATCACTGCTCATTTCGACTGGCAGGTCTCCAATACTATCACAATACAAGGACGTGGTGCACTCGCCGTCTTGGGAACTATTACAAAAGAAACAAGGCTGTTCCACTTGTGTGCTTTCAAGATGGTTCACACCACAGGGAGAATGGCACAGAGCCGAGAAAATTATAAAACAATCTTAGTTTCTTATTTTATGAGAAGAGACAGAGGGCAGGGTGGGGGAGGGGGTGTCTGGTTCTGGTCGGGTTCTCTGCTATTCCTGCAGCCCCACATCCCTTTTTTACAACAGCTTCATTATTGTGAAGTCAACAGCAGCAATAATCTGAGTACATTTTCATAGTACAAAGCACCAAAATGTATCTATAAGAACGTAAAAAAGGTCTGGAGCTACTTAGAAGCAAACAGCAATAACGCAGATCCTTCTCACTGCACTATTAGACTTGTGGCTTTCCTGTTTAGAAAGGTGTTTCCTGTTCCTTTACAGTTGATCAGCTCAAAAGGAAGACAATGTGACTTATCTAAACCACATTAGTCTCTATAGCAGGTTTTTATGGAGATTGTAATGAAGAAAACAATAGAACTAGAATCATTGAAATGAAAAGATTGTAGTTCACTGTCTGACCTGAAGAGGGCTTTATAAAATGTGATGGAAAATCTATGAACCCTTGGGTAAAATTTGAAGAAGAAAAAAACCTCAATGCCATTACAAGCCAGATTGGTGTCTCCACAACCAAAGGTGCAAAATATAATGATCTTCTTACCGACAGAGGTGGCGTCCCATCATCTTCTACAGTAACTGTCAGTCGGTACTCTTGTTGACGCTCTCGATCAGGAGGAGCGGGGCGTGTCACCATCTCCCCCGTCATGCGGTCCATGCGAAACGTCAAGTCCTGGTTTCCAGCGGTTATGTAATAGAACAACATGGCGTTGGAGCCGATGTCTCGGTCGGTGGCCACTACACGTAGGACGGATGTGCCTCCTCCAACATTCTGTAAGTCAAGAATGAATCTGCTCAGTTAGCACGACAGGTGAAAAAGGAGGGAAGCGTGGACTCAGTCTGGCACAGTCATGGACTTGGAACGGAGACCTCACCTCACTGATGCTGACGTTGTAGCCCCTCTGGCTCTCAATCACAGGGGCGTTGTCGTTAACGTCCAAGATGTTGATGGTGAGGGAGTGATCCGTATGTCTGGGTGGTGAACCATTATCACTAGCACGGACCTGAAAGAACAGAAGTCTTGATTAAACATGACAATCATTTCTTAAGTGATGGTTTTTATATGAATGAGAGCTATACTGCTCCACAAACACAAGGTGCAGAAAAAGTCACAACAACACGTGAATCACTGTCTGACCTTCAGGAGGTAGCGGTCCACTGACTCTCTGTCCAGAGGAGCGTTGACAAAAACCTCCCCATAAGTGTGGTTCACTGTCTTGATTTTAAACACGTCCTCCATGTTTCCTGCCACCAAAGTAAAATTGACCTGAGAGAAAAAGAAAAAAAATAACTGTGTAGTCAACAGTGGGTGACAAACAATATTTGATGAAGGTGTTTTAGTATTATTATTACTAGTAGTAGTAAGTACTTATTGTAGTAATGATCCTGAGGCACATGTCACGGCTGTATTAACACTGTGGGAAGCTGAGCAGACACTTTGAGTCTCTCTATGGTTTGGAATGGTTTGGAAGTTGCTAATAACCTCAACAGGTTCTTGGTATTTTTTGTGGCATTGCATCAAAGTACATAATGTCTTATTAAGCACCACAAGGAACTCAGGTTTCAGATTTTGTTTCTGCAATGCATGAGAATATATATATATATATATGTATATATATATATATATATATATATATATAGTATTTTCTCCTCCTCTCACCAGTCCATTCAGTCCAGCATCTCTGTCTCTTCCCAGCACAGTTGCTACTTTTCTACCCAAGGGTGTGTTCTCTGGGACGTCCACTGATGTGTCAGAAGTGATGTCAAACTCTGGACTGTTGTCATTCTCATCCAGAATTGTAATTGAAACCTGTGAGAATTCCAAAATGAAATCAATAGTCTACCACAGGCGTCCCTCTCTTTTGTGAATAAAACATGAGACGATAGATCAAAAATCAAAAGGTGACCAATTTATGGGGCAGAAAACAGGTCTTACCTTCTGCACGTCCAATGAGAAAAGCAATAAATAAAAGAGGAAGGCCGTTAGGTGGTCTATAACAGAGTAGATAAAACCTAGACTGAAATACAGTTAGGACAAACACAAAGACAGAGTCTCCATAACAGCATTAAGAATACAGCAACCTACCACAGTGGAGTCCTTCTTAGGGCCTCCATCATCAGCTACTACAGTCAAGGTGTACACGTCCCCCCGTTCCCTGTCCAACAGACCTGTCACTGTGATGCGACCCTGAAAAATCAAAAATATAATAAGAGACAGAAATATTTTTATTTTCACAGAATGGGGCAAAAAAGAAAAAAGGACTGGAAATAAAAAACACCATAGTTTGCCATTACATGTAGTACAAGTATGGACAAGAATCAAAGCCATTGATTCAAAATCCCAGCCAAGGTGTCACTAAATCACCGTGTGAAACATATTTGACAGAAAAAGGAAGGAATTTCTGGGGCAAACACTGTGATTTAAAGCTACTTTCTGCGGTGCTCTGCTACTCACCGTCACGCTGTCAATTTTAAAGAGGGCCAGAGCTGCAGGCGAGGTGTCTGGGTCAAAGCGGTAAGTCAGCTGGTTCAAGTTATCGGCTGACTGGGCCTGCACCTGCACCACCTCTGTCCCCGTGGCGATGTTCTCACGCAGAGAAGCCTCGTATCCAGCCGAAAAGAAGGCCACGGCCTCGTCCAGCTCATTCAGTAAGGTGACGTAAACTGTACAGAAGCCTCGGTGGAAAGGCGCAGCCTGGTCAGTGGCGGAGACATTCATCAAATAGGTGGTCTTTGTCTCGTAGTCCAGGTGGTCCACCGTGGTTACCAGGCCAGTGCTTACGTCCACCTCAAACTTACGATCTGAGCCGGACACAAGGGCGTAGGCGACGGCTCCGCCATCACCTGGTCAGGACCACAGGGATCACATGGACACGTCAAACTATTTTTAAACACTGAGATGCACTGACAAAAGACAACATCTTGACGTTGTCACAGAGCAGCATCAGCTACAAATTGCAGACATCTTCCCCTTTTTTGTGTGTTGTTTGAAACACTGTTGTTGGCAGACTGCTTCTGTGTTTACCTCAATTTGTGCTCGTCTCCTCCTCTAATGCTTTGGAAAATATATTTCACAGAAACAGAAGCATCACTAGGTGCCTGAAAACATTTTACTCAAGAGGAAGTGAGGAGAGGAAGTTTGAGCTGTTGAGCAGAAGTAGACATTTAAAGGTACAACACAGACACTGTGTGTGAATATAACTCCAGTTTTTCGTGGTGCAAAAAACCCCTGTATGACTAATATACAAATCCTATTTTCAGAAAAGCTACCTCAAATGGCATTTACAGGCTATATTTTGACAATTTACTTGAAAATAAGTATAACCTTTACTCACTAAATTTAACTAACCAACCAATTCACGTAACAGGTTGGCTGAAAAAAACAAAAACAAAACTATTAACTTAGTTAGTTTGTTAAAGGCTCCTAAACATTTAATTTCCTCAACCTGAGGAACAATGTTTAGGAATCCACACTGACTTCTTACTTTCATCAGATTTAGACTTCATCAGACTTCTAATTTAGTTCACTGTTAATAATACACACTGAATTCTGTGAACACCAGTCATTCACTGTTTAAGAAAATAGTTACATTGAATGTACCTTTCACAGAGACAGAAACATGTGATAAGAAGCCATGACAGAGCTGAGTCTGGACTCACCAGTGTCAGGATCTGTGGCCCTCACCACTATCACAGAGGTACCGATGCCTGCCGTCTCCCTGAGGCCCAGACGGTTGTACTGCTGCTGGGTGAACACTGGCACCTCGTCGTTTGCGTCGTTCACGTATATGATGACCTGCAGAGGATGGATAGTGTCTATGTGAAATATTATAATTGGAAAAGAAATTGGTGAAATGCAGACTGTCACAGCTTTAGGGGGAAAAATACAGCATCTCTGTTCGCCTGTCTTCCCTCCCTCACCCTCACAGAACTCCTCATGCTGCCTTCATCACTATTGTAGGCTTCCACCTCCAACACATGGGAGCTGCTGGTTTCTCTGTCCAGAGCCCTGAGGCCCCTGGTCAGCAGCCCGGTCTCTCTGTTTATGCTGAACAATTTGTTGCTGTTGTCTGAGAGGGAAAGAAAAAGAAAGGTAGATATAGAAAGAGAGAGAGACAGAAATTACATTTTAAACCTCCAGCAATTTGTTAAATCAACCAAATCACTTCATTTGGATAATTTAACATTAGGCATCTACCAGTTCATGTGATGACTTACTATAATATAACCTGAAGGCAATACAAATAAACACCTAGAGGAAATACTATATAATTTTGCAGTAATTACCTAAAAAAACCTTATATAAATTACTACATATCCATTATTGATGCAGAGAAATGGTCTAAAGCAATGGTAAGGGCAGCGCCCTCTGTTGGTTTCATAGCATGGGGTTTTTATGGTTGGCTGACATCGTCAGCAGACCATGGTGTCTTGTATACTGGGGCTGTCCAGGTCAAACTGTGGCTTATATCCCAGCTGGTTATATTATAAGTCAAACTTAAAACTAACAACTGAACTGATTTGGGGCGGAGGTTTGTACTAAACTCTTACCAGTCAGGATCCTGTACAGAACATGGCCGTTCTCTCCTTGGTCTGCATCTGTAGCCTGAACCTGTTAACATACACACACACACACACACACACACACACAGTCAAAAAACAAACACAACTGAAAACTGAAAAAAATGGGGAAGTCTGGTAATGATAACGTCAGTGTAAGAGAATGGATCTCTTCATCAGCTGCTTCTTGGCTAATGTTTAGCTATT